TGAATTTCCAATGGCGCCATTAAGAAAGAAATTGATGACAGCAACAACATCCATAAGAATTATAGCCTCCCTCTTGAGCCTGAGAACCTGTCAACCATGGACAACAACAATTTTGACAACAATCTTGACAACAACAACAACACTTCTGACAACAACAACAATCTTGACAACAATGACAACAACAACAACATTTCTAACAACAACAACAACAACTTTGACAACGACAATAGCGGCCAAAACAGCAACAACGATGATGAGAGTTCTCCAAACAAAATGGACGTATTCTCTCCATCCTCAAAAAACAACCTAAACCCATTTCAACAAAATATTTCAACAACAGCAACAACAACCGCAGCAGCAACAACAAATCAGATCATCACAGCAAAAACATGGCACGTGCCAAAGACAGCAGATTTTGTCAAGAGTGAGAAACAGGAACTTATGAAAAATACTTCTCCAGCTACAAATCTCAACGAACTTTTGCCAAATGCTGCTACTAATTCATCATTTGAACAACCACTACAACAACAGCAACAACAACAAGCTTGCTTATACAAATGTGACCAATGCATCAAATCATTTGAATCAGCCATGATGTTCCATCAGCATCTTATTCTAGAGCACAGCAACAACAATAGCAACAACAGCAACATTGAAAATATTGAAGACGACGACGACAAAAACGACGAAACGTGCGACGCGAAAGCTGCCAACGAAGCCACCAACAACGACGACAACAGCAACAACAACAACAACGCAACTAACAACAACACAATCAAAAACAACACAAACGCATTTTCTTCGCAACAACAGTTTAAAAATGAACAAATCAACAACATTTACAACAACAGCAGTCCATACAATTATTTAAACCCATACCTCAGCCATCAGTTGCATCATCTTCAGCAAAAACAATTCATCTACGCACAGCCAATCAAAACCTCGAACAACATCAACAACACAACGACAGCCAATCAGGAAGAAGGTAACAAAGTCAAAGGTAGCGATGGTGTAACCATGCAAGCGTTCCTATTGGCTGAATCAGGAGACCCAACCCACTTTGCAACATCATTGGTCTATTTGCCGACACTGCAAAAGATATCCAAGCCTGTCGTCGTTACCTTTTCGCTAACGCCTGTCACTCAATCTCATTAATTATTCATGAATTCTCATTAATTATTCATGAATTCTCATAAATTATTCATGAACTCTCATTAGTTGTTCTTAAAAATTAATTGATGAATATTGATTAGTGGATATTACTTGAAGAATATT